GCTAATTTTTTTTTGCATAATTTATCTTTCTCCACTGATTTGTAACATTATTTTTAAAAAATCACATACAAACTCAAATGTCCTTGGGCCTGTTTCTGGAATTCTTGGTTTATTCTATTGATCTGTTATGGCAGCTCCAAGTTAGCTGAGACAATACCCTTCTCTAATGATAGGAGTCAGGAGTTAGTTACGGCAATGTCTCCGGCCTCACCTAGGCTGTCACCCCGTGCCCAGGCTATGCGGACAACGACTGCTAGAGTCCAGTCACAATGTTCACACGTGCACCTCTTCAAAGTTACTGGGATCTAGATTTGGGGGCCTTAGAGGAGCTCTGGGGGGGATCCTTCCATGTACTCCCAGGCTGCCCTTCCCTCCACTTATGGGAACACATGGGCTAGTCAGCCCCTCACTCTCCTGCCTCTTAAACCTTACTACTCAGTGTAGTCCCCGAATCAGCACCATTAGCATCACCTGGGAGCTTGTTGGACGCAGACCCCAGACCCACTGAGTCAAAGTTTACATTCTAACAAGATCCTGGGGTGATCTGTAGGCACATTAGTTTGACAGCACGGTGCTATCCTACATGATTCGTTGTCTTTCATTATTCCTGTTCCATATGATCCCTGTGCCATCCCTGTTTCACAGTGTGCAGATACACGCTGTATATTTCCAACACTTAGATGGCACCATTCTCTGGTTTCCAGTGCAGACATACACTTGTCCTTTATTTTTATATTCCTTTGGTGATTTCTATAGAGTTAGAAAATTTCAATTTACCTTCTTAAATTAGAGTCCAAAACAAAGGACTCTGAATACAGTTTTCTGTCAAGCTCCTATCTGACAATCTTCCAGCTTTACAGTCTCCTTCCCTAACTGAGAAAATGGTTCCTAGCACTTGGGTCTATGTTGATACACCATTCAAATGGCTAATAAAGGTCTCAAGTCACCTGGGACAAATGCCAAAGTACTTACTGCTGAAAGGGAATAAAATGCTGCTTTTCTTCATCGTCCACCTTCCCATGTATGATATCAGTAATATCCATCACTAAGAAAAAGATAAACTTAATTAAAGGAACTAATTGTTTCATGCCTCAATAAGTTACTATTGAAAACGACAGTATCAGCAAACACAGACCACTGCAGGAAGAAAGATTACGAAGCGTGCGGTTTCTCTTATTTCTTTGCAAATGATTCCAGTATACCCAGAGACGCAACTGAGAGAAGCACAGCAGAACAATTCATCAGGTGCTCCAGAAAGGTCTTGGATTTTCTCCGATCAAACCTGCAGACTGTTCCTTTTAAAAACTCTAAAAGTTGCTAAGTTCTTGAGAAACTTGAGACTGTTAGTACTTTTTCGTAAGCCTCCATTCAAAGCCACAGAGAACACATATTTTGGCAAAGTTGTCAATGAAACTAAAGACCTGGGAGAGAAACTCAAGACTTGAAGTGGGCAACTGCCTCTTTTATTTGACATATTCTTACCTGGTTTCCATATACAAGTAGTCCTTGACTTAGGAAGTATTCCAGTTAGAACAAGCCGCACTTACCACAGTCTGTTTTTTACTATTTACAATGTTGCCATGCGTAATTTGCTGATGTTATCAATCTTAGCTGCTCACCCACAGATGTTTATACGTAATGTTTCCAACCCCCAAAGACAAACAAAGGTTGGATTTATAAAGATATTGATAATATAAGGTAATAATAATGAAAACTTCAAAAAAAAGGTATTTGATTTACATCAGAACCGACTTACGACGGAGTTGTCGTTAAGTCAGGGACTACCTGTAAATGAAAGTAAGCCAGGGCAAAGCAGCACAGAACACAAGTTCACAGAGTGCTTTACACCTCTACGCACAACAGGAGCACTTAAGAAGACACATTTGTAAGCCTATTGCAAATACAGTAAAACCTGTGAAAGCCAAAACCTATGTAAGGCAAAAGCTGTCAGAGAAGGAAAACTCAAATATTTTCCACTTAAACGAGTGACAGAAAAGTGGTAAGACTGCACCCTGTCAAAAATGGAAAAGTCATTAGACCCAGAAAAACAAGGCAGTCCCGTCAAGTTCCTGCTCTCACAGGTTTCACTGTATTATTTACATAGATATTATTATTAGCCCTACTTTAAGAGATGAGGAAACTGAGCACAGAAAAGTTAGGTAACTTGCCCGAGGTCAGAAACTGTCCATGACAGAGCCAGGGTAAGAACCCAACAGTGACAACAGAGCCAGTGCACTTAACCACAAGGCCCAGCTGCCTACAGAACTAATGAGCCGCCGCTGTCAAGCTACTGAAATTAGGCAGGGCCCATGGCAAGAGGCATCCCCTTAATAAATCACAATCCAGCCATAAAACACATATTAACGATTCATTCCCCCAGATGTAGACTAAAAGAAATACTGAGCTATGAGACAATTCTCAAATGAAACACTAAGGATAACGGAAGAAGTGCCTTCTCAAAGGAACCCAAATGATATAAGTAATAGTATGGGAGATAGTCATGCTGATGGAAGGAAGCCGTAGAAAGCAGGGCATGACATTCAACTTGCTGTCAGCCCTTTATAGAACCCTGCAAAAACTGTACAAAAAAACTGCAAAATTTTTATTTGATCTCCCAAAATAGGCAGTTCATTTGTCAATGCCATCATCAAGTTACTCCTAACCTCTACCGATGCTGTGCAGCAAGGCTCAGAGTAAATTAGTCTCCTCTCCATTCCAACCACACTCAACACCTGTCAACTCACATATGTAGTCCCACACACACATTCTCTCTCCTTGTAATAGAAAAGCAAGCTAAAGCCTTAAAGTTGAAGCCTGAGTTTCTCTGG